TATAGGTATTTGTGAGCGCAGTAATAGTAGAATAAGTTTTCCGGAATCCGGATTGGTTAGGGGACAATAACTTATTAGTAGTAAAATAGTTATAAAGTTGGGTATGGACAGCCCTTTCGAAAATTTTAGAAAGGATCGGGAGCACAGATATTGGACGACAGTTGTTCACGTCACTTTTAGACCCTCCCTTGTGGATTGGTACCACTTTGGCAACTTTCAAATCGGCGGGGAAACATCCATTTATTAAAGACAAGTTACATATGTGTGTCAAATAAGGTGCGATAGCAGGGGCCGCCAGCTTCAATAGTTTGATAGGATGGCAGTTAATGCCAATCGATGGTCCAGAGTCCATGCCCAGTAGCTGATCAAGAACAAACTCGCATGCAACCTCATGAAAGGAAAAGGAAGATAAAGGTGATAAAGGTAGTTTAGGTGATTCAATGCCAGTTAAATACACTCCATGATACAGATTGATGTTACCTTGGCTTTTTTTTATTGTTTTATAGTACAAATTCACAAAATGTACAGCATTCATTTTGAAAAGAAGCCCCCCCCCCCTTGCTTTGCAAAAGTAGTCTTGAAATGAAGCCCATCTCCAAAAAAAGCCCATTCAAAGTTCGCAAAAAAACAGAAGCCCAGGGCTTCATTTATTTTCAAACCCTTTGTTTCTTTAGAGCAGAACATGCTTAGGTCACATACATATAATAACTAATACTCAAACTGGGGAAACAGGCAATTTGGCAACTGAAACTGACATCAAATTCAGATTAAAAATAATATAAAAAAACTACTAAATACTATTTAGTATTTAGTTGCTTTAGTTTAAACTACTGTAACAGTCAATAAATTGCAATTAAATCGAAGTGTGAATAATGAAAATGAAGGTTAAAGGTTGTTGCCTTTGTTTTCAAACCAGCACAGAAACAGGTAGCTGGTACAATTATTGCAACAGGTTATATTTTCCATTAACTACCAAAGTTTATAGATGCAATATTTTTATCAAGTTGCCAAGTTTAATGTGGTCAACTCAGCTTCAAAAGATTAGTAAACACTGGGTGGGTTTATGATGAGCCAAAATGTCCCTTTAACCCTGCCTAGAGATGATGTGGGTTTCAAAGTACATTCCCATATTTTATGTGTAAATCACAGATATCAGTCTCATAAAAATTGGCAGTGTAGATAATTATTACTGTAAACTGGTCGTTAAATTCAAAGTGCGAATAATGAAAATGAAAGTTGTTACCTTCATTTTCAAAACCAGCAAAGAAAGGTAGCTGGTACCATTATTAACTATCAAAGTTTATAGATGAACCTCCATCAAGTTTAATGTGATCAACTCAGTTTCAAAAGATAAAACACATGGGTTTATATTAATGGGACAACAATCTCCTTAACCTGGAGATGAGGCCAAACAAAAAAAAAATTGTGTTGGCCACATTTTGGGAAAATAAAAAAAATGGGTAGGTTGGTAGGAAAACTTTTTTTTTTTACAACCAAATATGTTTTTATGCCTTGAAAGTAAAAAATACACAAATAGTCGTGTACCATCCAACAAAATAGGCTAGCCTTGGCCCCCTAGCCTCGCCAAGGCTATTTCACCCTTATTTGCTCATAAAAAAATATTTTTCGTTGTCAAAAAAAAACTAAAATGCAGACTCTTAATTTTCGTAAAATTTGGGTCGGTCGATAAATTTGTAATTAAAGGTATTTCCATTATAGGGGTGTGTTTTTACTATATTTCTAGGTTTCCTATTTCTACGTTTAATCGGCCCATGTCTCAGCCACAATATTTTGAGGCCAACATTATTTACGAACCCAGTTAAACTTATTTACTAGCCTATTTCAGCGTGCTAATTATTACATTTAGGCGACGCTTGTTGTAGACTGGCATACACGGTATCAACGCTCGTTTTTACTATGTTTCTACGTCAGCTCGAGACGCTTGAGTATTACTATTCAGCGTTTTTACTATAACCATGGGCGGTATGTCAACTCGGCCCAAGTCTCGGCAGAGTATTTTGAGGCCTATAGTATTTACGAAACCAGTTAAACTTATTTATGTCAACGTGCTAATTATTACATTTTAAAACAATAATTAAAAATGTATTATACTAGGGGGCCGCAAAACTTGACTATAATTCGATCATTCTTACGTTGTGTGGTGCGTTGGCAGTCAACTCGCCTCTACAAACTCGCCCCTAGAAAATTTGCCGCCTTGAAAACACCCCATACTAAATCATCTCACCAAATAAAAAATCCTACTCTAGGCCTAGACTAGCTAGGATGGTATAGGCTTAACCTTGAAGGGACGAAGGTCCCAATGAAAAACAACGTCGCTTCTTGATAGACCTAGACACTAGCTCGCACTTTGGCAACACTCTTTGGCAGTCAACTCGACCCTAGAAAACCCGCCCTTGGAAACTTGCCCCCAAAAAAAAATGTACCTTCCTAGACCATGCAGTCTTCAAAATAAAAATTGTAACCTTTGGTAATCAACTATTTTTTCCACATACATAGAAATTTTTGAAACTTTATTAAAAAAAACCTAAACCATAATTCACCACTATAGACGTTTTTTGACAAAAATGAAAAATTACGACTTTGTCACCCAATGAGAAGTGTTCTAATATAGACAATGGGTCGTGTCTCATATTATTTGTTATATTTTTATTATTCATTATTTTCACTTGACTCGCATAAATAATTTTGTTCGAAGAACATTTATATGCAGTTTTACTTCGCAGCACTTCACTTGCAATTTGCATTTTCTAGTATTATACATAATGTGACCAAATTATCATTTTTCTTTTCTTGCAACAGCATCCTGGAGGAAAAGAGATCATCTTGGAACATGCAGGTAAACCTGATTTGTTACAATTTAATTATAAAATAATTCAAAAATATAACTATTTATCTAATTATAGGTGGACAAGGTGGTTTTTCTTGTATTTTTGTTTTCTAGGCCGTGATGCAACAGGACCTTTCAAGACCAAAGGTCACTCTCCAGAGGCCACTAAACTACTCAGCAAGTATATAATTGGTCAGCTTGTACTGGTGAGAAACATACTAAAAATATCCTAATATTTGTTCAGTAGAAATTACCTTGAGAAAATTCACTGGCAGAAATGAACATTGGCCACCATGATAATGGACCTGGCTGTGTTCTGATTGGTCAATCAAGGTTAACAACTGACCAATCAGAACACTGCACCAGAAATGTCTTACAAACACATCATGTTGTTTCACAAACAAACCTGTTTGCATATGTTTTTACACTGTTTGTTGGATCTTAGCAACAATATTCAATGGGCTGGACTTAGTGGGATGGCCCATTGCGTGATTCTATCCCATATGCTAAGCCCTTAGACAATGTAGGAGCCCTTGTTGAGGCTCTTGAGAAGGTATTATTGTGCCCTTCAACAAAACCTTATACTGAGGCTACAATCACACAATAGCCTCAAGCCTGGCTTGACTCACTAATTGACTCCTGTCTGGCTTGAAATTGCTCTCAACCTAGGCAAGGTATCTTGATTGAACCTAGATTGACCTAGATTGTCCTAGAATTCCAAAATGTGACCAATCACAGGCGGCAGTACAATGTTTATGATCAAGGATTTCCACTATCCTGAATTGGGTCAACCAAGGTCAACTCAGTTAAATGTGATGTCATTTTCATGCCAGGCATGAGATCTCAACTGCAAATCAATCCAGGCTTGGGATTCTAGTGTTACCGTAGCCGAAGTTTTATCTCTCCACCAGGAGCTGTAAGTGGAAGTTTAAATGGAAATAAAATGGCTGATTAGTGTCATAATCAACTACAAAATTTGATATTGCCTATTTACAATACTGTACTGAATTGTGAGGCATATCCATCAATCTTATCCAATAAATGTCATATCATTATTAGATCCAATAAAAAAAATGTATTAATTTATTACCCTCGTGCCACATGTCTTCTATTGCATTAAAAAAAAAAATTTTTTTTTAGTGTAAAATGGATACATATATACTCAACTATACACCCCTTATTTTCATTGTAAACGTAGAACTACAACACATAGTAACAGTCAAAATGTATTATTTCTACTTAAGCAAAACATTAATGTGTTAATGTGTGGAGAATGATGTTATTTGTAGAAGGGGGGGGGGCGCGTTTATTCCAAATGAAGCTCTAGAGGGGAGTTTAATCGAGGGCGGCTTTTATTCGAATAAATACGGTATTACAAAATATGTGAAAATTGGTATTAACTACAGGTATTATATAAATATGAATAACATCAATATTTTTTTTTGACTTTCAGGAGGAAAGGATTTACATTCCATGATGCACCCTGCTATTTATAAGCAACCGGTTTAAAGTACTGTACTTTATGTGTATGTTAAATGCAATTAATAGATCGATAGAGCCTGTGTAGTTAACTCTGTAACTTGTTTGTTTTGGTCAAACTTAAAGGGGTCATTCACCATTACCTAATTTTCTAGACGTATAAAGTGTACTCGTTTTGTCTGTCATCTCCCATCAATTGTAAAAAAAGGAGAGGCTGTATTTAATTTTTATTGTCCGTCATCTCCCATCAATTGTAAAAAAAGGAGAGGCTGTATTTAATTTTTATATTTTATTTTTCATCAATATGGACACCGACTATGTAATTATGGATGACGAATGTCTGTTAAAAATTCAAAGAGCCACCAGCTACAACAGTTTTTAACACTTCAGAAAAAATTAGAATATAGACATACACACGAGGGCATACATACACACGAGGGTATACATACACACGAGGGTATACATCCCACGTGTGTATCAGTGGCGGCGCTAGGGCTTCCCCGATGGGTGCCATCTGAGTGCCTTAGGCCTGAGCTGAGGGGAGGGTTTTAAAGAATGGGAACAATTTTATAAATAAAAAGGATGGGGTTTTTTGTGTCTCATCGTTGTCCAAACTATTAATTTATATCTTTGAATAAATTCATCTGGTTTCCGAGGTGTATTTTTTTGATGAAAAATAATTTACTGACTAATCTTACCGGTAAATCTTATCAACGATACAATTCAAAAATGATTTTTCTTAATACAATTTGGGGGTGCGAACGCACCATCTGCAACCCCCCTTCATCCACCTCAGTTGTTATTTGCTATATCAACTAGGCTCTATAAGTTTATTATTCTCTAGTACACATTTTTTTTGAGAAAATAAATATGGTGAATGGTCCCAAAAGTTTTAAAATATTTTCTGTGGGTAGACTTATAGTGTGGCTCTTCATTGCTAACAGGGGCTTAGATGTATGATTTATATAAATGTTAGTATAAGATATACTTGATCATTCTTAGAAATTTCTATTTATAGTATAGTACAGTACAGTACTGAATGTATGCAATGACTTTAATATAATTTAATAACAATAATTCCAAATAATATAGGCTGTGATGACTGTGGCATTAGTGTTTACCCTATAAAGGTAATAGTTATAATTTTTTAATGAATGTTTCTTGCCTTTGTATATAATGCAAACTGTATATAAGCAAAAAGTGTGTAGTATAAGTTGCACTTTCTTATTTTTATAAAAGCAATCTATTTTTGTGGAACAAAATCCAATGAGTTTTTCTAGTTTAGTAAGCATATAATGCTGGGTATATATGTAAAAAATACGGCCTTATGTGGCATTGAGAGCAGGCGAGACCTCACTGAATTAGTAAATAGGCTATACATTCAGGGGTGGCGGTGAAGCTGTCAAACAGGGAATCTGACAATCACAGCGGGGACCAGGGGACAAAGCCTAATAGTAGGATCCAGAGGGCTATGCCCATTGCCTCAAGAAAACAAAATGTTGGGCCATTTTAAGCTGTTCTGGGATTTTTATAATGTAATATGTGCCTATTTTTTGTTTTTTTTGATAAGTTATGGTTAATAGCGGCAGGGGGCTTGTCCTGTTCAACGTGACAGGGTGCTTAAATTAATTCCCTAAGTCGACTGCATCATCTTTCACCTTTGTGCAATATATAAGTCTTAAATTATTATGCATATCGTAGATTTGTTAACATGGTAATATTGCTAAGGATTTATATAGCGCAAATTCGAAATCAATGATCAAATAATGGCGCTTAAGCGTTATTGCCCCTGGTTACTGGATAACATACAATGACACCTACTCCATGGGAATTATCTAGGGGTGATAGCTTCGTCCCCAGTCGCCTCCTTCCCCCCCACCTATTGAAAATGTTGAAAGCAAAAAAAATTACGCTCAATAGTTAAAAAATTTAATCTTGTACCACCTCACTTCATATCACTACCTCGCTTAATCATTGAGCCTCGCATTGCAAGACTCCTGGATACGCCACTAAAGTATATACATATATACTGTATTTACCTTTCTTTGATGATTTATATATATATATGTATATATATTTATGCAAATAAATTATCACTTGTAAATACAGTAATTTGTTTCATGTTTTTTTTTATTCAAAACTGTTTATTAAGAAAATAAAGCTATGCAAGGTGTCATGACAAAATGGATTGCAGTGTATACTAGGTAAATTTGGTATATTTAAAAAAATATATGAAATCATATTTTGAAAAAAAATTGGGTTTCAGACAAAAAACTGATAAAAAATGATGAGCAAGACCAAGTGGATAAGAAAATACACAAGACCTGAAATTTTCCCAGAAATTTACTTGTTTCCAAGATTTTTAAGGGGAACCCCACATACCGAGAATGTTTTCCTTATAGGTTATTTACACTCTGCCTTTTCTTCAGCGACACCCACACATTCAATAAACAACTTCTTTTGACTTTTGTTTGTAAATAACAGGTGGGACTAAAAGCATGATCTGTTGGGATATTTCAGCAAGATACATTCGAGGGATGTGGGTATCAATATTTTTTGAATGGCTTTTGGTGAGGGCATGGCAAATGCTGAATTAACACGTCATACTAAATACACACAACAAAAGAATAATACATCCAAGAAATAAGATACATGCCATTGTGCTGGGATTCAATACTCTTTATTGAGTCATCATTAGGAAAAATTATCCAAATTTACAGGCTCATATGGAGTGCACGCAACAAATTACCAAGAAATTTCACTTCACTAATGACAGATTACCCACAAATTTCACTTCACCAAATTGGGACCACAGCGTGATACAGTGTTCCACCATTCAATGCATGCATTACAGTTGACAAAGGACAAAATATTATTAAATACATAGAATAAAAAAAATACAATTATAAAAAAATAAAAAAAATTACCAGCAACACATTGCACAAAATCATAAGAACAACAATCATATTGTAGGAAGATAAGATGGTCAAATTTAATATTTAAAACTAAATTTTATCTCTGAAATTTTTGAATTAAAGCCAAAACACCCTGCGGGTAAGCGGTGGCCTGAATTTCTTATTACAAATGATTATATATCGTATGTTAGTGCGTAACAGCATGCGCATAATTTAATTGTTCTATTCGCCGATTAATCCGTTTGGACTTCAGCCCACAGTGTGGTAACTCCACATGTTTGGAAAATTCCACCCAAATGTCCATGTATAAGTGGGGATACAGTATGTCACATCTGGTTAGTGTTGGTGTGTAGACCTGTGGGAATTTAATAATTTGTGTTGTACCACTGGTGTTAGTGTTCCTATTTCATACTTTAACTAAGTCACTGAAAAACTCAAAAAATTCACAATGTGTGGGTCAGCATAGTCAATGCTGGAAGAGGAAGATATATGACAGCAGATTAGAAAAATGCAAAAAGGCCTTTAAAAACGCATGTGCTCCGTATTTTAATGTAATCACTTTAAACGCACAGTATATGCAACTGCACAACCGGACAAATTGATACTTAACGTTCAGTCAATTCTGTAAATCTCTTAAATCAAAAACTTAATTCTATGGGATGGTACTAAATTTTCCTAAGCAGGTGCCACTGTTGGAACGTGTCCGTTGGTGGATATTTTTCCTTCTTTTTTTTTTCTGTACAAGGTTTTCTTTTGTTTAAAACGGAAGTAAACCTGCATCTAGCATCCATCAGTGGAGTGTTGGCTCACCTTCCTGATGTTGTAGGCACCAAAATAATACCAAGTTCAACCTTTACAAAGTACAGACGAGCTATAGTGTTGCACTTTGGTTTGAGTGGTGGATTTACTAATAATTAATCTATGTGTTCACTGGTGCTGATGGCCAGATGTACATGAATTTATTGATGAAATGAAGTTGTTGCTCATCTTGCTGAAGACATCAGAGGAAGAACAAGTAGTAAGAATAATACAATATCTGGGCGGAGAAGCCAAGCCAGAAATCAAGATGCTGGGCGACAGAGAAAAACTGCCAGCCGACAAAATTTTTGATAACTTAATCGTTGTCTGTGGCTAGAAATTAAACCAAGACCTCATGGCATCCTTGTATCATATGGAACAGCAGCTCAGCAATACGCTTTAAGCCAAACCTGACGAGTGCAAAGTGATGTGCCGGCTGAACTTAATAGGAGCTAAAGGTAGGATAATTTACGAAAAAACGCTCACTTTTGACGACGGAGATATCCTCAAGCTCAATCACTGCATTCCAAATAATGAACTATTTAGAAACACAGATTCTATACTAGATTCTAGTATCATAACCCACCACACAGTACGTAAGCGAACTGAGAAAACTTGCAGAAAATTGTAATTTTGGTCCCTCTGAGGACAGTGCCATTAATGATCACCTCGTGAGAGGCATGGTTAGCGAAGATGACAAAATAAAAGACAAACTGTAGGAGGAAGGTAATTTAACACAACAACAATCTTAACCACATACGTAATGAGAAGAAAAATCAAAGAGACAGTATCTCACACATCATGAATTAACCAAGGAAGTCAACTTGATAAGGATCAAGTTGTAGAAGCAGTTAGACTTGTCTCAATTGAGCCTGATTGGAAGAACGTAGACCCAGCCAGATGCTCGGAAGATAGGCCGCAGTGACTGTAGACTTAATGGTAGAACCGGCAGAAGGTGATGAACCTTGAGACGACCTGGTCTCGAACGATAGGAACCGCCTACAAAATGCTGCAAGAAAGGCAAAAAAAAGCCTTAAGAACCAGCGCCCGGAGGCAAAAATGGTTGTGGAACTGAATTAAAAGAAGGGATGTTTGTGCTAATGTACGATAAAACAAAACGAAAGGGTGTCTTTCCAAAGCTTGAAAGTAGCTGAACTGCAGTCTAGGCATGGTAGATTATCTTGGACGTTTTACTCCTAATTTGGCAACCATCACACGTACCCTTCAAGACTTAACAAAGAAAGACGTTGCTTTCTCATGGGGCCCAGAACACCAAGACACTTTTCAAAAATTGGAAAACACAATCAGCGCAAAACCAACAATAGCCTACTTCGACCCCAAGAAAATGGTTACCATACATACCATACTGTAATTTTTAATCTTTTAACGTAAATGTAATTTGTAAATCTCATGCAATTCAGCCTTTTGGCTGCGACTAGAAGATTAATAAAGAATAAGAATAAGAATACAGACTGACAAAAACATGTGAAGCCTTGGGGGTGACACTTATGCAAAATGGACAATTACGAAATTTCATTTTATGGAAATTTCTTTTGAATTTCTTTTTTATTATGTAAATTTGAATCAGGAAGAGCCTTAAGTAGTGTAATCAGTTGGTAGCCTGCTAGCAGAAAAGCAGTAGATATCAGTTGTTAGCCTCCTAGCACTAGCAAGAGGGCTGCCTATCTTTCAGTTCTATTCTAATTCCAAATTTACATATACTGTAGGCCCTATCTCATATATACATATAAGATCATAAATAGATAAAAATCATTATTTACATTTTTTTAGAATGTCTTGTAAAAAAATTACGTCTAGTAAAAACTATCCACATAATTATTAGAATACAACCGATTATATACATTTCAATGACACGTGATTCTTCTGGAATAAAACATTTGGAGAAGGAGTAAGAGGTGCCAGTTATTGTCATCTGCAAGAGAAAACAAAATCTTTCATAAGAAATATAAACAAAATTAATGATTAATGTAAACACATTAGGTAATATACATATAAATTCAATTTAGAAGGATAATATATTTTTTTATTTAGGCATAAGGATTGTCAATAGCGAATATATCACTGTCCTACTTGTAGGTGACAATCCCTTACACAAGACAAACATACACACACATATATAATAATATCCAAGTAGGCAATAAGCCCTTCATTTTAACAAGGTTTATACAATTGAATATAATATAAAATACAATAAACAACAACAAATAATAATAAAAATATATAATAATACAAGAACAACAATAAAACATATGTTAACAACAAAAATCATAGCATCAATAGATTCAAGATTTCTTTATTTGTGTCCTAAAAATAATAACACTAATAAATAACAATAATAATAGTAATAATATAAATTATAATTGCATAGTGTACACGTTATCTACTGTCGACACTTATGAAAATACCTACCATGATGAAGCTTGGGTTGTTTCGGTTACGCCATGAAAACGAGGGAACTGAGATCTCTGGTGTTTTCTCATTGTGCAGCACGTAACAACCATGGTGGGTGTGTCCACTGACAACAAGGCGCGGTTGAATATACGATAAAAGCTGATAAAATACAAAGCAAATTATTGCAAATTAGAAAAAAATAATAGATATTAAAAAATCTTAATTTCCCCCCCCTCCCCCATCGCAATCCCCTTAAGAATCCACGGTAAAAAGCAACACCTCCAGCAAGCTGCATGCATTCACATCAGATCCAAACCAAAATTTGGATCACGTTTTTAAAACGCTGAACGCCAGCATTCCTTTCTTACATACTGATTTGATTTTCTGATTTGTTCGGTAGGCTTTTCAAATGCACCTGTACACTACATAGCCCAACAGTGATATAAAAAATGTTTTTTTTTTTTTTTAAATGCATTCAAGAATGTAGGCAATGCCTCCAACTGCCTGTCACAAATTCAGGCACTTTTTACAGCCCTGAGTATTAGCACTTTATTTACTTTTAAATTAACTATACCTTATCTGATGATTTTTTTGATACAGTATCCCAAGTAGGTTTGAACTTGATGTACTTTGTTTCAGCTGGAGCAGCATCAACGCCTTGGCACTCTGCATCAGACGTCCGGAATAAGGGGTAGTGCTGTGGGAACAAGTATTTACATGATATACTGGATACATTTCACTCGCCCGCAAAATAGCCAAGAAACTTAGATCCAATAACGATTTAGAAGTGCACATCCAAATGTTTGACTTTTAAATTTCAACTCCTGGCTTGTCATTTGATACAAATAGAGTGTTATGGCCAACAACCAGCTTGAGTAATGAGGAGAATCAATTTAAAATCAGAATGGACTCACTTTGTGTATAGGTAAAGGAGGTGATTCCAAAAAATTTTTTTACAGATGTCCAGAAAATGTGTTATTCAAAATTTTCAGAGAACATTTTACAGGAAAAAAACTAGTATTTTTTGTGTGTTAAAGCAAGAAAACCCAATATTGCACCACTAAACATCATCAAGGCCAATTTAAACAGAATTTTGGGTTCCATATGGGGAAGGATCAGACCCCCTGATTATAGGCCAGGCCTGGGATTTATCAATCTCAGCTTAGCAAATGTCTTAAGTCAAAAAAGTTAGGATGTCCCTAATAAATATCTTAAGCTGATTTATTACCCAATCTTAGCAAAATCTTGGGTTAAAAATCGTCTTAGATGGCGCCAACGTACAATCGACTTTCTAATTTTAAGCAATTTTTAAGCTAAGCAATATGGATAAATTTGTCTTAAGCAAACAAATGGACTAAAGACGAATTTAAGCTGATTTCTAGTTTGATAAATCTGGCCCCTGGTCTTGAATATGCACCATACGACTGTTTGTAATGATCCCAAAGATGGCCGCTCACTGCACTTGATGGCTGCCGTCCGATTCGATTCTATAGAGAACCCAACGTTACCACATGCGTGCAACTGAACATATTTAATGATGATCCATTCAGACTGCCACCAACAATCAACAGACGGCATCTAGTAGTCTAGCACTCACATGGAGCAGATTTGGATTCGCTGGCCGACAGTTGTAAGATAAAGTCAGTGCCCAGCTTAGGAGCGCATATACATATAAATATATATATATATATTAGTCTAGTTTTGGCCTTCCTGTCACTTGTTTAGGCTTTTTATTCTAATCTCACCCAGCCTATTGTTTCCAATCATGCTTGCATGAAATTCTCACTTTATACCATCTAGCTTTTTCTACCCTCACTCACTCGCCACTGAGGAAGGACTAGTGTTGTCTGAAAGCTCTGCTTCTATTTCTGGCTGTTTACTTACGTTTACTTTTTAGCTGTTGCTTATCATTGTTTCCCACAGCATTGTTGTTTTTCAGTATTTTGCCTTTTAATCTATATATATA